TGGCTTTAGTCTTGTTCAAAAACCTCAGTGCTGCAGGCATTTCCATTTTACAGATCCGGCTTATTTGTATGCAGACTATTGAGTCCTTGCCTCTCAGACAGATGCACTCTGACTTTGAAGGATGCCCTAATTAGTCAACTCATACAACATGCATTTCTTTCTCTCTTTTTTTTTGGGGGGGGGGGGGGGGGGCAGTGGGTCTATTCTTGTTTTCCCCCACAATGGGACCTAGAAACCCACTTTTGGAACTCAAGTATTTAATAACAGTTATTCATATATGTTAAAATACACAATATATGTCCAGCATTTTGGTTATGACAATCTTTGGCAACTAAAAAACAACAAATATTAATAAGGAAATTATGAATAACACACAGAATATATCTACATAAAACAATTACAATTTATGTGTTTAACTCTACACCACTACTTCACAAGTAAAAAATAACTAACTACAGCTTAAAACAAGACAGAAACAGTATGATCCTAGAAATGAAAGAAGGAAAGGAGTTAGGAAGAAAGGGGAAAAGGGGGGGGGGGCATGAAGGAAGGAAGGAAGGGGGGGGGGACAGGAAGGAAGAAAGGAAGGAAGGAAGCAAGCAAGGAAGCACTGATAGTTTTGTTATATAAAAACCCGATGTTTACTAGAAGTCGCGAAAGTGGCCAATATCTGACTAACTAACACTGTACCTGTAAAGTTTCCTTGATAATGTTGACATCTTCATCACTAACTTTCTTCAAACTGTGCCACCTTTTCTCATTCTCCTCTCTCATGACTGACTCAAACTTGAGTCTGACTTGTTGCTCTGAGATTATCAACTGATGAAAGAAGACAAATCACTGGAAGGCTCATAATGATGATTATAAAATGCAAACAATTTTTAAAAATATTTAACATGCAAAGCTCAACCTAAAGCTCAATCTTTCTCAACATGCTCTGTGAGTCGGTTACAATTAAAACATATGTGTACAGCTGATTCTCAAGACAGCGAAAGGTTGTAGTTGCAACCTCCACCTCCCCTAAACCCAGGTTGTTAGGCAAACACAACCAATGTAGCCTTCTGAAAAATGGCTCACCAATAAACATCTGTCAACTGTAGTACCCAAAAGTCGTGGGTTCAGATCCTTGTCCAGCCAGATTTATTTTCAAAAATGACCTTGCCTTCCTGCACAATCCACGGTCAAATGGGTGTCAGGTAAAGTCATGGGAAGTTAATGTGGCTGGTGTCATGTTTACCACATCATCATCTGAGTGGTGATTGGTCTATAAAATATAGGTCTAGCCCTATACACCCAATACGCCTATGGGCATTGACAAGGGTCTCTTACATCTGTAGTAAGAAGAATATCAAATTTCTGTGTAGACTTTGTACTTTTGTAGGCATGTGAAACAAGCATACATGCTGTGAAACATCTAACAGTAAAACAAATTTGGTTTTGGAAGGAAATATTTGATAAATCTGGACGGAAAGAAAAACAAAAACAAGTGAGGAATATTTCATGTAACAGATGAAAACCATAAACTAATTAGAGACATTTTACATAGTCAAGGCAGTTTAGCCTGGTTGTGGGGATAAAAAGGGTTCTGCTTTTTGTTTCCCCTTCTTCTTCATGTTCACCAGTTGTAAACTCCAGTGAAAAGTTGTTCTGGCTGTTTGTCCTCTTCTGGACTTGAGTTTTGCTTGCACATCCATTTTACAGATTTGATATATTTATTGTGCAGGTTATTTATGGACAATATTAATAAATTAGACATAACACCAACAGATGTCGATAAACAGGAGGACTTCAATGAGCTGCTCTTTGCCGACGATCAATGCATATTTCACAGTGATAGTAAACAGCTGCAAGACCACATAAACCTACTACACGACAGTTGCCTCAAGCATCATATGAAGATCAATACTGAAAAGACAGAAGTCATGAGCATAAGTAGAGAGCAACAGACCATCGACATAAAGATTCTAGATCACAGCCTAAAACAAGTGCAAGAATTTAAATACCTGGGAAGTATCTTTACATCCAATGGTAAAATAGACAGAGAGATCGAAGCAAGAATCCAACAAGCCAACAATGTCGCATACCAGCTTGCCCCAATTTTAAAACACCCTGCTGTCCCAGCTGAGATAAAAAGACAAATTATAAATACAATCTTTATACCGACATTAGGTTATCAATGTCAGACTTGGACATTAACAAAAGAACACGAGAGAAGACTAACCACCTGTGAAATGAGATGTTTGAGAATGGCTGCGAATAAAACCAGAAGAGATCGAGTGAGAAACGATGTGATTACAAGAACTATTGGAACCATACCCATCGTTAAATTTATTGAGAAGCAAAGAATGAAATGGTTTGGTCACCTAATGAGAATGGAACCAACGATGCCAGCATCAAGAGCATACAACATGAAAGTCGAAACAACAAGAGGCAGGGGAAGACCAAAAGAAGATGGATTGAAGGAGTCACGGACAACTTGAGACTTCATAACATCACGGCATATGAAGCGACTGAGCGCGCCCTGGCTCGGTTGCCGATCATCTGATAGACTGCGACGCCTAGCGGCACAAGCAGATTTTGACAAAAGAAGAAGAAGAAAAAGATTGGCTCCACTCCTCTACTGCAGATGCACCCCAGCTAAAAAGGAAACACCCCTAATTGCACAAGATGATGATGAGTAGCAACACAAGACAGTACTCTCAGCTACCTATTCCAAGTTTTACCTTCTCCAACTGCACATATTTCTCTTGAAGCTCTTCCCTCAGCTTCATCTCCTTGTTTAGCAGCCGCTGATTCATTTCTTCAACTGTCTCTGTGAGTTTTCCCTGCAGTCGCAGTTTCTCATTCTCTAAAGAATGCTCCTTCTCCCTGTGTGTCATGTCCAAAACATGCATTGCTTCATCTCGCTTGCGTGCCTGGTCTGCCAGATTTTGTTGCAAAGTGCTGACTCTGCAATTATATGTAAGAAAAATCAGGGGGTGATTTGTACAGTGTCACAATAGACTATGTGAATTGTATATTTCAGCTGAAAGAATTTATTTCTACGCTCCATTATAGTTTAGTAAATCTTATATTATTCAAATGGCAAGATATACTGAAATATTCTAGGACAAGAATTGTGCAGTATACAGGCTCATCGAGAAGGCTTGTTGAGATTTGAAACTGTTATTATAAAATATGTATTTAACAGATAAACATGTGTGGCTTCTTAAAATCTTCACAAATATTTAGTTTGATTTTAAGATTTCATTGCATATCCATTAAATACTTCTGTTATAATAACAGTTTAAAATCCTTGCAATCGTTCTTGATGACCCTGTATTTTTGTATCAAAAAGATTCAAATTAAATGTAAATCCCCCCAAAAAAAACCTAAAGTACATCCATATTTATGGACACATGTCATGGGCATCACTAAACAAGAAAACTGTTCAAGTGGTTTTTGCAGGTGACATTTTTTCATGTGATGGGATAGTCATCCTCAAGACCAACGTGACCCTTATATTTGTCTCTTATGACATGCTTAGTAGGGTGAAAAGTATTATTCTTTGTTGCCCTTACAGACTCAAGTAACACAAAGAGATGGAAGTTTTGTTCAGTAAACCCTTAATATTAACAAGCAGTGTATCTAACAAAGACAATTAAGCTTCTCAATGTTTGTGATCTCGAAACAAATATATCAATTCATGGGCTGCCAGTTGATCTGAGGAGGAGGGATATTTAACAGGTTCTAAAATAAAAAAATGAATCGCAGGCAAACAGTTAACTGATGGGGGGAAAATTATGAAGCAGCAAAGATGAGGTTTTATAGACCAATGATGGCGACACCATGGAGTAATTAAAAAGAGTAATGAAGACCTGAAAGAAACTGAAAGGAGACAATCTACATTCTTTGGCTGCATCATCAGAAGCAGGAAACTGGAGTAAGTTAGTGGGAAAGTTAGAAAAGAGGGAGACCAAGAAAGGAGATCCTGAGCAGTTGACATCATGGCACAGAAGATGTCTTTTTCAGAACTAAATAAAAGTACTTAAAACAGAAGGTTGTGGATAGACAGGACTACCAATGTCATAGGGCTTGGACTCTACGCAGAAGAAGTGAGCTGTTATTATTTTATTTCTATGTCCTGATGAATGCTTGTTAAACTTTCTCTCAATGTCTTAGTCTGAAATAAAATTATAAACTCACTAGTGTATTATTTTTACAGGAGTTAAATACACACATCTTTTTAAATAGTAACTAAAGAAAAAACAACAAAAGGGATATACTTTTGCTGAACTTGCTGCTCCAGAGCTCGTCGCTCACTTGCCTCTTGGTCTTGTCTGGTCCTTAGCTCTGTTATGAGGTCCCTTAATTCTGACAGTCTGTGGGAGTATAATAAAAATATAAATCAATAGGATAATGACAGCACCATTTATAGTGTAAAAAGCAGGGCATTTCCTCTAGCAGTAAGCAATGGTTTACAGTACAGGCATCTTTTCTGGGCATTGTTTGTTTTAGCACTGGTGTAACAGATATTGTGCAGTGAGTGCCTGCACTTTTTTCTTTAGACAGTTTATGGTAAATACTGGCATCTTGTAGAAAAAACATTCTAATGGGATGTGAAAGTATAACAGGCAATAATGTAGATAAAAATTGGGACAGGGGTAGAGAAGTGTAAAAATAGGAATGTAGAAGGTGAGAGGAGACTTCATAACAAAAGGAAATCTGAGGAAGTCAAAGAAAATTAGAATATTCAGCTCTGATGTAAAAGGTATGCTTCTGTTTGGTGCTGAAACAGGGAACAAAATTAAATAATGACTTTTAAATTATAAACATTCATCAGCTTATGCTTGCACAGAATAAAGGGAATTAAATGGTGCTGCAGAAAAACTCTACTGATAAAATACAACTAGTCTAAAAGATGAGTTTCTGGAACGGCTGTCTTGAAGAAGGACCTGCTTGCTATATTAGTCATCATCATCATCATCATCATCAATATCCACTTCTGCCATTAGGCGTTGTGGGGTGGAACAGTTTGTGATCCATTGATTGATAGGCAAGAATGGCTACTGTCATTTTGTTTCGATGTAGAAGCAATTCATCAATCCATGCTCTCTTAGGATGGCCTTTTGCTATCACTTCAGATCTTTTCACCTGTAGTGCCTGCATTAGTAGCTGTTTTGGCTGCATTCTTACTAAATGACTAAACCATTTGATCTTCTGTTTCTCTTTGAATTTGCTAAATGGTGTTGCTCCTACAGTCTGTCTGATAATATAATTTCTAACTTTGTCTCGGATGGTTAAGTTGGCAGCTTTTCTCAGGCATCTCATTTCACAGGTGGTAATTTTACGTAGGTTAACCTTTGATGATACCCAAGTCGGCCACTGGCTGCACAGTGTTGGCATGAATATGCTGCTAATAATCTGTTTCTTGGCGCTCGTACTTATGATCGGATATCTTAAAAGGGTGTCAGCTGGTATTTAACTCTTTAAGGCCCAAACAACGGTGTGAGCGTAGTTTGAGTGTTTCCGTTCTGCCCAAACAACGGTGTCATCGTTTATTGTGTATTTCTTACATTTTGCTTCGCATGTGCGTTCGTACTAGTTTCTAATGTTTGGAGGTACGAATAACCTATTCAGGGAAAGTCACTCTGCCGAAATCCTTTTAGTTTCACTTCTTGGACTAAACCACACGTGGATAATTTGAGAGAAAAAAAACATAAAAATTTTTTTAACAGTTTATTTTCTAAGTTCGTTTTTGAGTGCACTGAATACCAATGTTCTAACCACAAGAACAGGTCGCAGAATGCGTCTTTTTGCGGCCGAAGCTCTGAAATTGTTTTAGTCAGATGTTTTTAATTGTGAAAATGATAAAAAAAAATTTGATTTTTCGGAAAGTGATTCAGACAGTGAATTTTCACCAGTGAAGCTGAGCGATCAGCTGTTCGGAATCTAGCGATTCTGACGAGTTTATTACACAGACAATGTCCCATACTACCGTATTTATGATGTAAGAGAAGGAAAGTGCTCTAAACAAAGAGATAGTACTATACTATGGCTAAGCTACATTGAAATCATCGCAGCTACAGTCTGTAAATAACTGTACAAAGTGAATAGTAAATAGTGTGTGTGTTATGGCTCATTTTTTTGCCAGTTTTTCTCTGAAATTTTGCTTAGCACTCGGTGGGAACTAAGAGCCTCTGAGTGATAAACTAACCCAGAAAGTTATCATAACTTTAGAATATGTTAGGAAATTGAACAAACTTTGAAGTTTTGTTCTCAAATTTGGATATTTACTATTCTTGTGGCTGCAAAACCATGGTAAGTGAAGAATTTTTTTGTGAAATGTTGTCCTTGTGAAATTAACACCTGCTAAATTCTTCTTTTCCACTAACTATAACAAAATTAAACAAACACTTATCAGATTCAGAATGTACACTCATTTCTCGTTTAAAAAATATATACTGTTATAGGGATTAGAAGTATATTACAGTCTCTACAGCCTTTCTTGTACACCCACCCCTCTGCCATTTTTGTAAAGGGAAATTGATGTGGGTCAAGTCTGTCAAAATTCATGGGCCTGAAAGAGTTAAGTGCAGTGGTTCTTTGGCATCTTGTTTCTATTTCTGGATCTATTCTTCTGTCCTTTGAGAACATACTTCCTAGATTTTTAAATTCTTTAACTTCCTTCATAAATGTACCATTCAACCCGATATGTAACAGAACTAGGAATTATGCTGACAAGCATTAGTTCACATTTAATAGTATGTATTTTCATGTTCTATCTTCTGCATGTTGAACTTAGCCTGTTTAAATGGTCTTGTAGTCTACTCCCCTCATTGTATAACAGGCAATGATCGTCTGCAAATAGTAGCTCATTAATTGTATGTGGATCTAATTCTTCCTCTGGAAAATAAAGTTCCTTATTTTCTGGATTTTCTGGGTCGACTGCTTTAAAACCGGCTTTTTTGGATATTCTGTTTATGTATATTGTAAATAAGAGAGGAGATAGCACACATTCCTGCCTTACCCCTGAATTGATTGTAAACATATCAGACATGTCTTCTTGTGTTCTCACTGTGCTTTGAGAAGTGTGGTACATGGCCACGATGTTATCTAGCAACTGTCCTTTAATCCCATAATCCTCAATAATAGTCTAAAGTTTGTTTCTATCTACTCTAGCAAAAGCTTTTTCTGGACCTTTAGACACAATATTCAGTTTATCTGATGTACACCTGTTCCGCTGTAGGTCTAACTCTCTGTTCTAATAATTTTGCACACACTTTTTCCTATGTGGCTCAAAAGTGCTATACCTCTGTATGATGCACAGTCTCTTGTATTACTTTTCTTTTCCAAACTGATATTACTGCTTCCAGTCAAGTGGAACTTTCCTTTCTTTCCATGCTGTAATAAAACTCTTGATAGCCATGTGATGCCAATTTGACCACATACTTGAATAACTTCTGTACTTATTCCATCTAAACTAGGGGCTTTGTTTTTAGGGCTCTTCTGTGTAACAACATCTTTTACTTCTGATGTTAGAAAGTTTGATTCATGTTGGTCACTGCTTCTAGGCTCAAAACTGAGGTTATCTACCTCGCTTTCAGGGTTAAGTAGCTGTTTAAAATATTTTGCGCGCCGTGCTAACTTTTGATGTGGAATAAATACCGGACTGCCTGCTCAATAAGTGACCCTTTGAAAATCAAGTTTGTTCATTTATTTGTTTGTTCATTAATTCATTGTCAGTGCAAGTAACAGTTACAATAAGCATAGCATAGAGCACCATCAGTTCTGTGCCGAAAGGCCACTCCCATTTCTGAATCTATAGTTCACAAAAATAACTGCTTGGCCAAGCCGAAATACATTCAAAATAAAATTCAAAGGTACCAGTGTTGTGCCATGCACTAAACTCAGTAGCTGGGCAATGGAACTATATATTTTCAATCCACATATAAGGAGAAATACAACTGCTAATCATAAGCAGAAGCAAATAACTTGCCAAGTTTGAAATAGTCAACCTGCCTATCAACAATACTAATTAAACAAATGGACAAATTAATAAGGGGCATGGCAAGAAAATGATCAACAGCTAGTCAATGCATAAAATAAATCCTTTCTCAAACACAATAAAGTCAGAAAAATTTACCTGTTTTCAACCTGTCCTCTCAAATGTGTTGTGCTTGTTTCTGTACTGCTGTATAAATCTCCTTGTTTTCGTAATGTATTCAACTGTATTTGAAAGGACATTATGCAATACTTGTATGGTAAACACAGTAAAGAGTGAAACACAACTAAAACATAATTTCTACATGGATGCATATCTTTCCTTGCTTTCACAGGACTGAAGGGTACACTACTTGGTGTGGTCATCAAGGGCACCCTGATGATAACTTCCTTGGAGATTGATGTGGTCAAGATTCTTTGAGAGCAAGTGGACAATGTGGAAGTGCCAACAGATCATTATGGTGTGGACAGAATGGTGCAACCAGGAGTGACCAGGGGATCTAATCAATATTCTGCTTTCAGAGGAAAGATAGAATGGACTCACCCCCGTGTGGGTTCAGGGGCCCCATTGTGGGGAAAAACAAGAATAGACCCACTGCCTCCCCAAAAGCATGTCGTAAGAGTCGACTAATTGGGGAGCTTCCTTTAAAGTTGGAGTGCATCTGCCGGAGAGGCAAGGAACCAACAGTCTGTATTCAAGAGAATGAGATCTGTAAAACTGATGCACACGCAACACTCAGGTTCTGGAGCAGGACTGCAGTTCAGTAGTGGACGAGCAACCATAACTTTCCTCCAGAGTGTATAGCTGGTGAACGCGAAGAAGAAAAGAAGAAGATAATCGAACTGCTACTGGTACCAATGGAAATGGAACTCTTTGTTGGCTGCCGAAGATGAGGACAGAGTACTTATGGGAATTTCCTAAGTGCTGTGATGCTGATTCTTGATTCAGCTCAACGAAGGGCTGAAAAGAAAATCTGAGTTTCGCCCTATTGAACTGCCATTCAGAAGGCAACTCTTGGGGTCACATAGTTGACCAACAGGCAGCAGCTGGAGGTGGATTCATCTGATTCCAACCATTGTGTTTTTAACTTTTTCTGTCAGAAGCGCTTGTATTTTCAAATAAACAAAAACAGGATCTTACGGAGCTAAAGCCTCCTGTTCTTAATCTGTTGTGTTCACTTTAAAGAGGAGATTGGCATGCTGTGTTATAGTTTACAGCTAGACTGTGATATCTGCACCTTTTTGGCCCTACACATATGATTTCAGCAAATCCCTAATTAGTAGCCTTTGATGATATGCTTGTCTGGGTGGGGGAAGGGGGGCAGTGGGTCTATCCCCCCATTCCTCACCCCCTTTTCTTTAATATGGAACAGACCAGTACCAGAAATATCATGTATGAATTTACCTGTAAATTAATAAGTTCACTGGTATCAAAAGAATTAGGATCCATGAAACATTATTATAAAACAATATGTGGCATAATCAAGTGATATTATATACCACTACAGTGTTTACTAATATAATACAACCTCAAATAAGTAAAAGAAATTGTCCTGGGAAGTAGAGTTGACAGGTATTACGCTGACCACAACATTCCGTATTGACTGGTGTTTTTAAAAAATGTGTCGAGGACTATATTTTTGATATGTTAAAGGCAGGAGAAGATCCTTCACTTGTGTTTAAACAAATTAATTACTGGATAATCTCACATACAACTGGATCCTATGGAACTCGTAACATTTTACATGGACTTATCATAACATTTTATATACAACTTTGCAGCTCAAGAATAGAGATGAAGAGGGTCACTGTAGCTTTCTGCTGGCTAGAGAGCATGACACACACAACACAGTGATTGTCACTGACTCAAAAAGCATCCTGAGGAAGGTGAGAACAGGCGAGCTTTGTACAGAGTGGCATGCTTCACTTCAGAGGTCACATGTGAAAAGTATTGTCTGGATCTTTTCTCAGTGTTGGGAAATGAACAGGCGGACAAATTGGCAGGCTCCACACACCTCGGTAGAATACTGATGCATGATAAGGCAGACGTGGTTAAGGCCTTATGGAAGCAAATTTATCAAAGACTGGTGAGAGTGATGCAGCGGCAGAAGCGAAGAGGGGATCTAGCCAATACTCAATGCTCAGAGGAAAGACAAGATGGACATTTAATCAGACTGCTATTGGCACAACTGGTATTGGAACACCACACTGGCTGCTGCAGATGGTAATGGAGGACTTAAGAGAATTTATTGAGTGCTGTGATGTCAGTTATTGAATCAACTCAACTTATGATACCATAAAAGTTGGTTGTGTATCCTTTATAGGATATTGCAGAACTAGCCCCAGCATTTTTTGTCTGTCATTTCACAGGGCAATTTTATGTTCCACAATTTACCATTGCTTTTTTAATTGGTCAGCTTTTGATAACACTGTCAAACACCAACACAATGTGGTTTGTTGCCAAATAAGCTTGATCAAACCTGGTAACATGGAATTTTGAAGTGTGTTCGCAACGTCTAAGCCAAAAACTCTGACTAACTTTTTATACACAACAGTATTATAATAATAAAATACACTACCTAATCATATCACGTAGTCAACAAGATATACAACCAAACAATAAAATAACATCACAATTGTAAAGTTAAATAGTATTTTTTTTTTAAATTACAACCCAAAACAAAACAAAAACAAAAACATTTTACTATTTAAAAAGTACAAAGACTTACCAGAAAGTAATAAGATATTAATAATAACATTTGAAAGTTCGAAACTACACAGTATGCAAAGATTATTTATTTTGTCATTCAAAAAATTACACTGAGATAGAAGCAAGATGATTGCAAACCTTCAAAGAGTTCAACCTGTGCACGCTACTTGCCAAATAAGATGGAACCATACCATCAACAGACAAGAATTCTTCATATTGTTAAGGTTGCTAAAAAACCTCCCATTACTGCCTGTATTCACTTCTTTTGCAGTGTAGGCGGAAAGATCTTTCAGCCTAAGGATTTAAAGCCCCACAGCTAATGAAGTCACCATGGGCTGTTCAGATTTGGGATTTTTATTAAAAAATTTTAGTTTTTATGATTAAACAACTGAGAATTAAGAGGTTCCCTACAATGACAGTCTATCTGACAATAAATAAGCTGAAATCTACCTGTAGTTTGTTTTCTTCCTCCAATCTTCTTGCTCGCACCTTCAGGTCATTCACTGTGCTTGTTAACTCAACAGCCTGACTGTCCACTTTTGTCCGCAAAGTCCTAAGCTCTTCTGTGAGGTTGTAAATCAACTTCTCAACTTGTTCCCGGTCCCGCTGCATCTCAGTGAGTTGAAGAGATAATTCTTGTATTCTGATAATGATTTGATTAAAGCAAAAGTTGATGGCTTAAAAAACATCTCATTAACTACAAAAGCTACTATACATTACACAGACAAAAGCATTTAGAAAAGTATTTTATTTTAAAATGTACACAAAAGATGTGAACGGGAGTAGACCATGCGTCAGACAAAGATGGCAGTGAAAAGATAACATATATTTGCAGGCATACAAACACTTGGAGTCACCAACTGAAAAGCCTTTCAGACAGATGAATGAAAGTGGGTGACAATCTCAAGGGGTCAGAATGGTAAGGAAGAGGATTTTAAAATATATAAATTATAATTAACTTGAAATTGCATAAATAAAACAATCATTAACCTTCTGACACTAAGATTTCAATATTTCCATCCAATATATAAACTGACAATTTGAATTTGTAAGCCCAAAAAAGTGGGAGAAGCCCTGGCAATTGGTGTGGCATGCCATATACAAATAACAGACGTTTGAAATTAAAAATCACTTTTTTTTAATGTGCTTATTACGCCACCTTAAAATCAAGGTGTTGGAATTATGAAACTGCTTTTATAACTATTAAGCCACAGACTCCATCTACTATAAAATGCATAGTTAAAATTGACTGATGGTTTATAGAAAGAAAATAACTATTGACATACTTGGATGACTGAATGTCTCGTTTGGCTGACAAACTCTGCTGACTGGCAATGACAGCTTGTTCCACACCCTTTGTATGAGTCACTAGAGATGACAAGGCTGACTTTTCTTCCAGTATCTTATCCTCTGCAAGTTTAATTCGAGCTGTGAGCTTGCTAATTAGGCTGTTCACCATTTCCAGGGAAGATTCTATTTGTTGTCTTGACAACCGCTCATCCTGAATGTAAAAACAGCTGTCACTAAAGTTGTGACTCAGTTGGTTAGTCAATCAGTCACTTGGTTAGTTAGTTAGTTCACTAATGAGTCAGCCAGACAGCCAATGAATCGGTCAGTCTGTGAGTCAGACAGTCAATGAGTCAATCAGGCGGTCAGTTAGTCATTCAGGCAGTCTTTAAAGAAGATAGGAAAGAGGAGAAAGAGCAGGAGGAAGGGAGTCTCCACAGCAAAGTGGTCAAGCCAGTTGCCTCGCTGCTGAAGGTCATGGATTTATTTCACAACTGTATTGTTTCGTTCATGAGTGCAATTTTAATGGAGACCCTGGGGATAGTCAACAGAGTTACAGAGTTTGTGCTTTGTGTGAAGCTTTTGATGAGCATTTTGGAGAGAGAGACCAATCCATATGGGATACAATCCAATGCAATTAGGCTGATCCTCTCCTTTAATCTTTAACCTTTGAGTAGTAGTCGCGCTGTCATCAGTCAGTCATTCAGGTGGTCAGGCATTCAGGCAATTAGTTAAGAAAGTTAAGTTAATAAGGAACAAAAATGACAAAGTTCACTAAGCAAGAGATAATTACCTTAATCTGTTCTTCATTTCTCCGAATCATGGCACGTAATTCCCCATGAAGTCTGACCACTTCTTCAAGTGGTGCTCTATCTTTTTCTGAAAGGCCATATATCTTAACGTTGTCATTGTTGTCATACAAAGCAGTGGCTGTCTTGAAAGCACCCATCGTGTCCTTGTTACCAAAGCGTGGTTTATGTTCAGGGGTCACTGAAGTTATAGCGGGAAGTTTGGTTGTCTGGGATAAACCAGATGGCCTGCAATTTGGACAGATTTGCAGTCAATTTAAATGTGAGAAGAAAACAGTTTTCAGAGAACAATTATCTCCTCAAAATGAGCTTATATGCAACATCCCAAGACTTAGTATTTATTTTAATGTCTTGTATGCTTCTATGTTCAAGAGTGGTTTTTTTTTTTTTTTTTTTTTTTTAACATGCCGTGTGGTGTTGGTAGTCATGTCTACCCGCAACGTTCTGTATCATGCATTTTCAATGAACTCTGACAAAGATGATCCTCCATACCACGATGTCAGACTGTCCAGCATCTGTTCTCTTTGTCTCCCTCTGCCTCTCTAACTGTCCTACTCTCACGATGTACACCAGTTTTCTCTTTAACATCACAATACCAAAGAACGCAGACTGTCATTTCTGAGTGTGGGCAATCAGTTCTCTTCGTGAGTCAGTTTCTTTCACACCAACCTCATTACTCTTTTTATCTGTCCTGAGTATTCTCTTCATTTAACAACATAACCACATCGCTGCAGCTTCCAAACAATTGTTCACTAATCTATCAACTGTCTATGATCGATTTCCATATATCAAAATACGATAAATACAGTTTTTAAGAATTCTTTGTCTCGTTGTGGTTTAAATACTGTGATATCTGTGTCTTTCTGCCCAACACATGTGATTTCGCCAAACCCCTACTTAGTTTACTTATATGAAACGAATGCTAGAGAAGCAAAAGGTCACCCCCCCCCCCCCCCCCCCCCCACCACCTCAAATGTGTCCTCAGAATCAACACAGACAATTTATTTGATTCAAGAGATTTATTATATCAACGCATTCTGTCCTGGATTGTTTAAAGACTTTTTCCATAAAATAGCTTGCATAGAGAAACCGATAAATGTGTAGTGACTTGGTTAGTGCTGAAAAACTTACTGACATCAGTAAAATGATGGCAATTCATTCTTGTTAAGGTGTCAATGATCTAAGAATATAAAAATTCATACTCACATTGAGGAAGAAGTGGTGTTGCCAGATTTGTGAAGATGGTCATAGAATGTGGCAAACGGATACTGTAAGTGATTGTCAGACATCTCCAACATTGTCGCAGTTGTCAGTTCCTTCATCTACATGGTATGGTAAGTACACTGGACTACTTATTAAAAGATAAAGAAAAATGTTTAGAAGTGTACATACTGCTCTGTCGTTGTTTAATCTCAGCCAATCTGATAATGCATGTGCCGAACCTGTGTCAATTAGTTTTAGGATGAAGACTGAACAAAATATTTCAATCAGATCATCTGTTTCAGTCAGCTGTTTCCCTGATTTTGGTTGTTGTGACATCTGACATGTCATACAAAAATAGTCATAACATCCAAAGTATTTAAATTAATTGTTTCAAATAAAGACTAGCTGATAAATAATTGAACAGAGAAAGCATGTGACTTCCTAGAAATGGATAGCAGTGTTTTTGAACAAGTAAAAAATAAGGTAAGCACACAATTTGTTGGGGGGAATAATATTCATATGTGTCTAAAATCCTTGAATGTTATGTGATTTTAATAATATGTTGTTTGTAATACTGTCATTTAAATAATTTAGATTTATTCTGCACTCATTTTTTTTTTTTTATTTGATATATTGTAAGTCTCAGCCAAGATTTTTTCTTCAGGAAGATTTTAGCTTTGTCATGTTGTAGTGTCGGCTCTGTGGCTAAGTCGATGCGAATGCTTCGTAATGCCGGGATGCCGGGTTCGATCCCAACTGCGGGCCATGTGCCTTGCGTTGGTTTCGACAGTGGTATCAAGAAAGCCGACCATCCAGAAAGCAATGGCAAACTACTGGATGTAAATTTGCCTAAAAAACCACACAACAGCTAGGGGCTGTTGGGGTTGGTTCTGCAATGTCCTGTAAAGGATACGCAACTAACCTAACCATGTTACAGTAAAAAAAGTCCGCTCAAAATTAATGCTGTCCAAACCCCAGATGAAATGTGGTCCTGAAAGAGTTAATTCTGTTCTATTCTGTTTATAGGAAGAGGAAATGCAACCTGAAAACTTGTCATGATGGCAGGGCAGGCCAGGCCCTTAGCCAGGGCAGACCAGGCCTTTAGCCAGGGCAGACCAGGCCCTTAGCCAGGGCAGACCAGGCCCTTAGCCAGGGCAGACCAGGCCCTTAGCCTTGGCTGGCAGCTAGTCAAGAAGGGAAGCTCCCACAGTGGACAGATACAACACTGCTTTTCTGATCTGGCAGCTTCTACAGCATGCTCAGTTCCAAATGTACTGGTGTTACCTTTCTTTTGAAGTGAATTTGTTAGGTAGGTAGTTATACCCCACCAGGACATCACACAAGCGATAAACACCCGTTACATAAAGTGCTACCATGCGGATGAGGATCACTCGTGGAGAGGTCCCAGAAACCCCTTTCAACCGTTAAAGCCATATCTATGGCAAGGCCATATTTATGGCCCAGTTGTATTCAGTGCTCCCCAGGAAAAAGCCAGAGTGGGGCTTCAAATAACAAAAAACTGCATCCCACATGCGGATGACTTTTAACGCAAGATAGGGAAAGAGTAAGTGAAAGATGAGACAATGATACCTGGATGATCTAATCATATCACATATGGCCATACAAGTTTATCAGCATGGCAGATTATTACGAAGGGCTTTCAAATATAACCTTAAAAGGTAATAGTAATAATAATAACCATGCATGCCACTGTCTTGTAACCTGTCAATAGTATTGTTAAGAATGTCAAGAGTGTTAAGTATGTGACACCAAGCTGCAGAGGAACATGATGAGGTCATAATAACACTGTAAAGATTGTAAACTTGTGACTTGTACCAAAGAGGAGCAGACACTTGTGAGGTACTGTAGAACATAATGGATGATATAGTGTTCTGAACCTTCAATGCTGTCAAGAGGGTGTAAAACTGTCATTATGACATTACCATGTGTGTCTGCATCCTAAACTCATGTGCTTAAAATATTCCTGAAATCCTTAACAATAATACTGACAGGTTATTAGACAATGGCATGGTTACTGTAATTGATATCATACTTTTAAAGTTTTCATTTGAAGCTCCTCTTACAACCAACATCACTGTCTTCTTCTTTTTCTGCCTTTCTAGCCCCCAATGGAGCAAAGGCCCTGAACTTACTGATGTCAAGTCGTGACCATGGAAATAGCCGCTGCTTCTAGAGCTTTAGCATGGGTATCCGAGCAAACCGCCACTCAGGCAGTAATTGTATCAGACTCCATGAAAATGCTTCAGAAGATAGCAACAGGCGGTATGTGCTCTGAATGCATAGAAAGCATTTGAAAATCGCACTTAACCTCCGTTACCTGGATCTACACACCGGGTCATGCGGGCGTAAAATTAAATGAGCAGGCAGACCAACAGACAAGCACTGCACTAAGGAATGCGAGATAAAGCATGGACAGTGCAGATATCATCAACGCTGTACAGACTGAGCTAGTGGATAATGAGGAATCCCTGACACTTACACGATTGCGTGACATGGAAGTAAAGCATGGTGAAGCACGTCTATGCCGTCTTCGAAGCCGAGATAGCAGACAATATAACCAACTTCTCTAGGGAATAATTAGTAAAGTACTTTGGAGTGGCTGCTGCATGAGAATACCCAATGTGCAGTGACGTAGATTGTGATAACATAACATAACATTAAGTCCTTTTTTTCCTTCGCTATCGCATGCAGCTCTCCCCATGTTCTCACCATCTTTTTAACTTTACTCTCTATCTCAGCTCCCTTCTTCGTGCGTTTTTAGGTCTTCCTTTATTTCAATGCCTCTGTGAGTTCCAATGCAAAAAAATTCTAGCTATACTGTTGTCAGGTTTTCTCATTGTGTGTCCTATCCAACGCCAGCATTTTTTCTTCACCTCTTCATACAATGGAACTTGTTTGGTTCTGTCCCAAAGCTCTACATTAGTGATTCTATCATTGTGCATTCACATGCGTGCTCAGTGTTCTGATGCAGCATCCACACCAAGGTACCTCTACTGAATGTTCACTTGACAAGCTGATCTAAATACTGAGAAGAGCTAATTATGTTTTATAATGTAGCAAAAAATGGCAACCCAGATGTTTTGAAAAATGTGAGTGCTCGAAGACAAATTATTACAAATATGAGAAAGATACAGTCATGATTTTCTGGTCATGTTATGAGAAGAGGGAAACTGCAAAATACTGTGACCACTGGAAAGATCTATGGAAAGAGAGACAGAGGAAGACAGTGTAAAAAAATTCTTCACAGTCTTTTGTCATGGCATGGAGGGGTGTCAACACATGAACTGATACACGCAGTTATGGATTGCAGATTGTGGAGAGGCATGATGGCGCATGCCAATCGGCAAAGCTCTTGATGACGAATTAAGCCAAAATATGTGACTTGTCTCTGTTTTATTTCTTCTGTTAGCTCTACGGCCATTTTTTGTTTTTATTTGGACCTCTAACTGTCTTATGTTTGTTTCCATAAAATGCAGCATAATCGTCTGTTTATTCTACTACTTCTTCTTCTTCTTCTTCTTCTTCTTCTCTCTACTTCTGGAATGCCTCACGGCATCAGAGCAAAGGGATGTCTGTATAATCCCACCCTGATATTAACATACTTCTACAAATTAGTAGTATTTCCTTTAGATGCTACATAATCTTGTAAACATCTCTATACTGGATGATTCAATATGTGAATTATACTAAAATGTTTATACACTAAAATGCAGTGGTAAGCTCTACCACGACGCTTTTACTTCCCATAACGTTTTCCTAGTACCTGTATAGGCTGGGTCGACTTGGTGGACAGACCCCGCAGGCAAAAAAGCTGGACACTGCATTAAAGGGGAGCCCATGGTCGTGGGTTCGGGTCCAGAGTACTTTTTTTTTAAAGACCTTGGTTCCCAGGTCGACCCAGCCTCAAATCGGCACCAGGCAAAGTTCTGGGAAGTAAAGGTTGCCGGCATGGTGTTGACCATATCCCCACTGAGCAGCAGCAAATGTCGCATTAGCCGAAAATTTTAACTTAGTGACACCGCATTTAACAAATAAATTGATGTCTACATTTGTTTCTGTTTGTGTGTTCGGTTAACTGGAAGGTGGGCTTCGAAATAATTACTCTGGTTTTTTTTTGGGGGGGGGGGGGGGGTGGGGGGGGGGGTCACGGGTGTAAAGGTTGAGGAACACTGGCACACAAGCACGAACTCTGTAAACTCTGTGACGGTCCCCAGTAATCCTCGTAAAAATGGCACTGGTGAACATTTTCCCAAAACGAGCCAAAAAGGGGGGGGGAAGCAAACGGACTGACAGTATCAGGGAAATATAAACATGTTCTAATACTTCCTTGAACATTAGATCTCCTTGCATGAAACCTTCTAAACAATAGCACGCTGATCAATAGACACAGTCACGTATAAAAAAAAAATCAATGAAAATAATTCAGGGCCCACTATGCAAAGACTATCTATCATTCCATTGTTTCACACGCGAATGGCGTATTTCCCATTGTTGAAACTGGGTGGGTTGTGGAGAAGTGTAAATAAAAAGTTATTGTGCGTTTGAAATTATTTGTATGGTACACTGTCTGACAATATTTTACAATGCTTGACAATAAGTAGACCAGTGGTTTTTCATATTTTTCACACAGCCCCCCCTCTTGAACTATTTCAAGATACTCACGAATAATGGAAAGACAGAAATAACAGTGAAATCCCGAGGAAAAAATAGTGCCTAAATGAATAATAAAAGTCAGAGGTGTTATTTTTAGGACAAGTACAGAAATTTAAGTATCTAGGCACGTGGATAACATCCTATGGAAGATGTATAAGAATAGAATAGGACAGGCTAAAACTACATTTTATAAAATGAAGAACATGTTGTGCAATATATAATGTCATTGGATGTTAAGGAAAGAATTACCGCATGCTATATAGAGCCAGTTTCAACATACGGTTGTGGAGCCTGAGCAACATATAAACCAGCAGAAGAATATCTTGAGTCTTGTGGTTTTACAAGTGGACAACTAAGAAGAGCAGCTCAGAAGTTTTAAAAGACGTAAGTGCCCGAAGACAACTTATCGCAAATATAAAAAAAGAGACAGTAATCATTTTTTTTT